TTAAGGTCAAGGCCAGAGTTTGCCATTAATTTTGCTGCTTCAAAAAGGCTTTTGGTTTTCCAAGCTTTGTGGATTTTAGAATTATCAAAGGGGATTGTGGACTAGTTTAATCCAGTTCTTTAAGGCCAAGTCTCCTTTGATCATACCTTACTCACCTCCTGACTTTCAAATCCCAGACCTAGCACAATGCTTGCCACAAAGGAGATGTCTAATATTTATTGAATTATGAATCGAATTGTTAAATGGCGAATCCTTCTGAACCTCAGCCCTGGGTAAGTGGGGCAGTGGATGGGACTAAGGTATAGGTGATTGGTTCCAAAGAGTTCTTGAATCTGACTTTGATTTCTAATGACTTAGCCTTTCTTCTACAAGTGAAGGGAAGGATAGCAAAGCAAAGCAAATAAACTACTTGTCTTGGGAATGAGAAATCAAGATGGCAGTCCAAATGTTTAAAAGATCCATGATTCCATGCACCTCTTGAGAGATAACCAGAGAGCGTAGCTTCTGGAGGCTCGGGAAAGCAAACAGAAGCTACCCATTCTTAGTAAATGATTGGGTTTTCCTTCTTTATGCTCAACCTCCCAGCTTTACCTCAGATGGCACTTCTCATGCGCTCCCAACCAAGAAGTTCTTACCTGGGGTAACAATGAGGTCCTTTGTTACTTGAAGGTCACTCTTGTCATAACCCAAAATCCCAAACCGAAACACTGCCATGGAGTTTAATCTGCCTCACAGTGACCCCATCGAACATAGTAGAACTGCTCCTGTGGGGTTTGGAGGCTGCAACTCTTTAAAAAAATCATTTTATTAGGGGTTCATACAACTCTTATCACAGTCTACACAAACATCAATTGTGTAAAGCGCATTTGTACATTCATTGCCCTCATCGTTCTCAAAACATTTCCTCTCCACTTAAGGCCCCAGCATTAGGTCCTCATTTTTCCCCTCCCTCCCCACTCCCCCCTTCCTCATGAGCCCTTGATAATTTATAAATTATTATTTTGTCATGTCTTGCCCTGTCCGACATCTCCCTTCACCCAATTTTCTGTTGCCCGTCCCCCAGGGAGGAGGTCACATATAGATCCTTGTGATCGGTTCCCACTTTCCAACCCACCCTCCCTCTACCCTCTCAGTATCGCCCTCATACCATTGGTCCTGAAGGGATCATCCGCCCTGGATTCCCTGTGTTTCAGGTTCCTATCGGTACCAGTGTACATTCTCTGGTCTAGCCAGACTGGCTGCAACTCTTTAAGGAAGCAGACTGAGCCCGAGATCTAATCCAGAATGAATTATTTCCTGTTTGTCCCTATAGTCCTTCATGTCTATATCTCCCTTACTACGCTGTGAACTCCTGTATGGAAGGGACCATGTCTTCTTGATCACTTCTACTTGTCCATGGCTTCATGATGTCACTGTTAACTGCCATGGAGTTGATTCCAACTCATGGCGACCCCATATACGAGTACATAGAGGTATTCAGTGAATGGACTAGAAGAAAATAGGATAGAATGGAAGAGAATTGGATGACCTGGGGTTCCCAGTCTTGGAGTGCCGTGCCTTTCCAGTCATTTCCACAAGGTTTGAGTCCATCTCTTCTGGCCACTGCCACCAGACAATTATTTGAGGATATCTAGAGCAGTGAATAGCTTTGCTCCTGCTATTGGGATTCAGGAGTCCTTGAGTAGGTATCTGTGAAAGCTGATTAACTGTTGGGTAGAAGGATTTATTTTCAATGTAAGAAGCTACCTCGGAACCCCTCTGAATTTCCACAAGTGTCCCTGAGTGCCATAGCATTTTCTTCCTTAAAACAAACAAAAAAAACCCAAAACTATATCTGTGGAACATATCAGGGGAAGGTAAGACAGAACAGGGAAACTCAAATCTGACCGGCGTTATTCCAAAGAGAAATATCTTCAGTAAAATAATAACAATCACTAGAATAATAGCATTTATTGAGCACTTTCTATGTGCCAGACACTGCAAAATTACTTGAAAGTATCATCTAGTGTAATCGTCACAGAGCCCTGTAAGTTAGGCATTACTAAGGTCCCCGGTTTATAGATGAGGAAATAGGTGGAGAGAGGTTAATCAATTTGTTCAATGTTCCAGTCATCAGTGCAGGAGCTGGGGTTGGAACCTAGGCAAGTCTGATAACCAGGTTTTAAGCACTGTACTTGATAGGAACACATTTTAATTACATTTGAAGTATAGCTAAGTGGGAGACACAGGAACATGGGTTTACATTTTGGAACCATTTTCAATAAGAAGTGGAAAAGTGTAGAATATTTTTTCATTATCTCATGACTATACCTAGGGGTAGGATTACTGGGACCTATACTAGCTTTTTTTCCCCATATACAAATAAAGCTCTTTACATGTCAACATTCTGAATCACATAGTAAAATTTTTATTGTACACTTTTTCTTTTTGAGGATCTGAAAATCCGTGTTTACTTTCCTTAGGTTTATTCTTTAAAAACAAAAAGCAAAACCCCAAATCCCTTTCCATTGTGACTTGAGTTAAAGTTTACAGATGAAATTGATTGTCCACTTAACCATTCAGGTGCATTTTGCTGCACGATGTTGACTGCAATCCCCACACAAGAGCACCAGCACTCTTTACACTTCTTTTCTGTGATCGCATGTGTCCTTTTGTCACATCCCTTCTTGCCTTCAGAGCTTAATCCACGGGCAAATTCTATCTTTAAAAAAATGATAAACTGTTAATGAGGTTGGGATTTATATTTCAGATCATTAACTTTGTATTCAACAGTTTAAACTACTAATCACCTTCCCTCCAACAATAGCTCTTCGATTCATCTTCTCCATCTTGTGGACCACCATCTTTCACGTCACTCAAATTAATACCCATCAACTGTCTAGTCTATTGCTTTGATCTCCTATGCTTGATTGTCCTACGGAATGTGTACTTCTCTGGAGCTACTTGTCACCTTAGCTAGTGATTTTTTAAATTCTTACGTTTTATTGACATATAATTCCCATGCTATACAATTCAGGGGTTTAAACACATCAAAAAGAGTTGCACAATCATCACCACAATCAATTTGAGAACATTTTCTTCATTCTTGTATGCCTTATTAGCTCATTTCCCCTTAATCTCCCCTGCCTTAACCGTACGAAACTATAAATCCAGTTCCTGCCTCTACAGACTCGCCTATCCTGTATTTCAGAGCCCGCAAACAGTAACAAAATAAAACAGAGAAAACCCGCAATTGAAAAGAAAGCAGAACATATAGAACAAATTTAAAATGGGTTAAAAGGAAAACAAACGATAAGGTGTTAAATTTTAACCGAATTCTATCTGCATTAATCCACTTTCCAATGAACTCTGTCTAACAGCAAGGCTATTCACATCCCTGAGCAACAGTCAGTTGAGATTCACAGGCGGCTTGACCCACATGGGGACTCTGCAAACGGATTTTGGGCTTTCACTGTCATCCATTACCTTCTATAAACCACGTGCTTGAAAGTTAAGCTTTAATACAATTTCTTCCTCCAAACTCTAGATTTTATCATTTGCCATCTTTGGATCATACGGATTAGTGTGTTTCTTTCATGTGGACTTGGCTATTAAATAACTCTTTTTTTGTAGAACCGTCTGATTGTTTTCCACTGTGACTGCACCATATTGTAGTCCCAACAGCAGTGTATCAGGGTCCCAACTTAGGCCTCACTTGCCTCTTAAATGGGAATGTTCTCAGTAGAGTCTTGGAAGGCATGGGATGTTCTTTCTTATCTTTCCTCCCCACATATACCCTCATGCCCATCAACTTCCATTTCCCAAGAGGTGCTGCTGGCTGTGTGGCCTGGTAGAATGGAAAGTCACATTCATTCCTGGAGTTTTGAGACAAGCTCCCACTCTCCATGCACTGCTCCACCAAGTTCCTGCCCTGTCCTCTGGTCCATTAGATTTGCAACCCAGGATGTAAGGCATTCCTTTCTATACTTGGGCACTGTGACTGAAATAGATGCCCTCATGAGCCAAGGTAAGGCTGCAGATGGAAACCCAGAGCATTAGTGAGGCTAAGGAGAAATGTAACTATATCATTGGACGTGTGTTAAGATTTATTGGTCCATTCTCACCACTTTTTACTTCTTCCATTTTCAATCCCATCAGCAACCATCATTTGCTGCCGAGATCGGCAGACTTAGTACCCTAATGGCAGAGCTGAGAGAGCAGTGGGTTCTGCTACAAGTGAGCCATCATCCCAGCCACTTAGAGAGGGAAATTGTTTTTCAGAGTTTTACACTGCCATTTCTGCTCACCCTTTAATGAATGTTTTCTGTACATAAATGAAGCAGAGATGGAAAAAGAGATGAATCAGTGCTCATGTAAATGGCAGTGGGTCAATCCGCAAACACAGGCTTTCAAAAAAGGTTCTTTCCCCCCCCTCTCCTCATCCCCCCACCCTCCCAGCCCTTCTTCCTCTTTTCCCCATCCCATCTGGGTTAAGCTACTTGCTGATTTCTAAAGTATTTCCTGGGTTTGATTAGTGTGCTGGATGCATCAAACTTGTTCTTGAAAAGCTCATTTTGCAACCTATGCACCAGAGTGGAAGGGCTCTTTTTTTAAAAAAAAGATAAAGGTTTAACACTAGCTTTGCACCATTATATACCTCTTAATGACTCATCAGTCACATGCTAAGTCATGAATATTGAAATTGCAATAGGCAGGCTCGAAAAAGCTATGGTTGACCTCTGCTTTTACTTTTGGGCCACTTGAGTTTCTTTTTGTGTGTGATTCATATACCCAAGGTACACTTGGCAAATGCTGGGGGAAAGTGCTTTTATTGGATGCACTCTATTTGTATACTTCACCCTAGTGTGTAGCTTCAGTATCTCATCGTGTAGGATGGAGTAGAAGAACTGTTAGGGTCCCTCCCTCAGTGGCTTTCCTTGGTTGTATACCAGGAGCTGTAATGCTTATGCGGTCAGAGGACCTCTATTAACAAACACTGTGTGTGCCATATTGCTTTCTAGCTCGGCTTTGGATCCTTCCTGGGAATCATCGGCTCTAATCTTGTTGAGAACAAAAGACAGATGGTAAGATTCATCACTATAGAATCAAGTTCTGCCTCTGAAAAGCTCAATATTTATGTGAACAAGTAACATATTGCTTAAGGTTATTAAATGGAAGCATACACATGTCTCCCCTCAAAAAAAATACAAATGATTGCAGTTTTTTTCTCCCAAACCTTCAGGGAAACTTGTTTGTAGCATAGAATGAGACTGGTTCTCATCTGGCCTGGTGCTCCCTCGATGGCCTAGCTAGTCTCCTTAAACTATAAGGACAGATTGTGTGAGTGTTCTAGATCTTGCTCTTGGCTTTATGGTCAAATTACCTTTGCCTAAAAGGTCTTTGCTCCAATGGTCTAGATTACTGGAGACCCTCACCTCTCTGATGCAGAATCTTTAGGGGGGAAGTTTTCCTTGACCCATGGTCCAAAACTCAGTGTGCTGTCAGGTTGAAAGGAAGAACGAAGAGTTCACAGAATTTCTGCACCGGAACGGGGCCCACGAGGATAAGCTGTTGTGTTTTCCTGGCTCAATCAGAGAAAGTTTCCTGGAGGGCAAGGGAAGAAGGTGAAAACGAAATTGCAAGCATTTTTGCAGTTTTATAGGTTTTACAGCTCAAGATATCCGGTGAGTGGTCAGAAGGTGGACTGATTAGGCTCCCCTTGCACAAGTCTCTGTGGTATTGCAACTGTGCTAATTGGGGTCTATTTAACAGTAAGTTTAATCAGATAACGGAATAGCTCCAGGGACAGAGAACTCCGACCACATACTTTCCCCAAACAATATGAGGAATCACCCTCTGGGGAGTTCTAATAGTTTTCTTCTTCCATTTCACCTGGACTACCCCCCTCCCAGTCACGTCTGTACTTTGAGTTTAAATTATTCAAAATAATGGGGGTGTTTTAATTGTAGAGCTGATCAGAGCATAGCTGATAATGCCAATTTCATGAACTCATTCATCTTTTATTTACCACTTCTCTGCTTGTGAAGTGAGATTTATCAAGAGGGCTCTGAAGAACTCCCAAAGGAGCTAAGCATTCCCTGTTACCTGTTGAGGTGGGAGAACCTGGGCGGGGGTGGG